GGACTTCCACATTTACACTCCGTTTCCAAACAGTTAAAATGACAAATAAATGCATACTCTGAAAGCGCTCCACAAGACATATGTGATTATATTACTGGATGCTCGAAATTGAATGGGAGAATGCACGTTTTAAACAGCTTATTGTAGAAGTTAATCGCCGTTCTGATAAAAATGAGCTGTTATAGGAGCAATAGCCACGTCGGCAGCGCTGTGTCATATGCCATAGCTGTACACAAGGTGTTTGAGTCTCAGCTCCAGGTTCAGGCTTATTTGTTCATTAATGACGTCATCAGAAGTCATTCAACCCCTATTGTTCAGATAACCAAAGATGCCATTGCTTTGTTATTTTGTTATATAATGCATTGGCGTTTTTAAGGCCACTGTACCTATAAATACATGGCAGGATACAGGATTACCAAGACACCATACCATCCAATTTCAGCTGAAAAACCTCTGTACAGCACTTAAATGTCAGGGAATCCCTGGTGGGCCTGATACTGAGCGCATTTGGACTGGGTCACGAACAAAGCTGCCCTCCTAACAGCTCCAGAACAATGATCTTCTGTCCCTTCACACAAACCACTGCTGGCGTCTCCGCCTTCACAGAGAAGCCACAAAACAAGCCAAATTGAGTTCAAGGTGGCAAATCTTGATTGTCCAGAGGAGACAAAGAGTTTGGGAGTGGTAGAGTCAGTGACTTTTGGGTTACTCTCTATGAGCTTGTGTTCAGAAAAGACATACAAAGACTCATCTGATGTTCAAAGCAGGTAGTTTGAAATGTAAAATACTTCCCTTGCACTAGTTAGTGCAGCAGACTATGCCATTTCCTGCACAACTTTCTGAAGTCCATGAAGCGTGTCCAAAAAGAAGCCAGAAATCAAAGCATTTCTTCTCGGCCTGTTGATATCTTAAGTATTATGGGGGCTTTGCGATGTTTTCCTTCACACTTTCCCTTATATGGGCCATTTGTGTAGTCTATGATGCTATTTCTAAGCCTCTCTGCTTGAAGAAGCCCTCTGATCTAAACACAGCAAGAATTCTTCTGTAGGATATAACTGAGAGATCAGTTTGAGCATAGAGGATTGATCCAGCTCAATCTGCAACATAAAAAACTCTTTTTTATTTAGAATAAATTATATTAAACAACTTGAGTGACACGCCAAAACTAGGACACTGTAGTTTTGAGCTCGCTGACAGTTTGAGTTGTGGACTTACAATCACAGAAGACATCTATACTAAGGATGCGCATCTCCATAATTGAGGGCAATGCGATACGCATATCGATGCATAGCCAACGATACAATACATTAAAGATACATATGAAGCAGCTGTGCAAAACCGACGCGATGCAATACGAATCACCACTATTATGATGCAGTGCGATCCGATTTCAATTAGATTTAACACAATGCGATTCAATGCAATAGAAAAAAATATGATGCTATGCAATTCAATATGGTACAGATAGTTGGCTTTTATTTCTTTGGTTCAGACAGACAGCCATGGCAATCTATATGTGACTCTCAGGACATGCCTCGGTCTCCGTAGTGTTGCGATACGTCACATTCACGTAGCAACAGTGGTGATGAGAGAACGCGCTTGAGAAACCGTTTAGAGAGGAGAAATCTATCTACATAATACACAAATATTGGTCACAAATTATTGGTCACTTTCTAGATAATAAAAATATAGTGCATCTAGTAAAAATTATATATAAATCGTTTTTACCAATGCAAAATATGTTAGAAGCGATGCATCGTGATACAAATGCCAACAATTTTTAAATTGATGCATCGTGTCGTTAACTTTGCACCGATGCAAATCAGTGAATCTTACCATCACTAGTCTATACTGTAGAATAAATCATTTACAAAGTGTCTTCAGTATCTGATGGCTAAAACTATGGCCAAATTACAGCCCAACATTTATCCATTTTGGTGTCTATTTACTGTATTTTCTGGAATATATGTTGCATTTTTTCTGAAACTTTCCGTGACTTACATAGTGCAATTAACATCAAGCATTCAAAACATGCACAAAGCAAACATATTTGAATTTTTCCAAAATGAAAGAGGAACATGAGCCCAAGTTTACTTGTATTGCATATTTTTTGCTTCAAATAAATTCGTTTAGGCTTGGCATTTTTTTAATAAATGAATTTATGTTTGTTTTACACCTACAGTTTTCATTCCTGTTCTGTTCTGAAAATCATAAAATTGAAAAGATTTAAGTTGAGTGAGGGGAACTAAAATGTTCTTGAATCTTGAGCAAGTAACTTTAAAGGGGTCCTATTATGCTCTTTTACAATGTCTTGAATTTGTTTTGGGGGTGTACTAGAACATTCTCTCATGCTTGGTGGTTCGAAAAACGCATTATTTTTTACATAATTTACATTATTACAACACCTTTCTCCCCAGTCAGGCACAAACGGCTCGATTAGTTCCGGGTTTGATGAAGGCCCGCCTTCCGAAAAACGAAATGTGATGTGATTGGTTAGCTATCCCAGTGCGTTGTGATTGGCGAACAGCTTAGACTGTGTTTCAATACTGCCCCGCCCCTTGCCAAAGCAGCAAGTTTAAGTTAAGGATGGCGGAATTATTTTAATGATATTCTAATGGGACGCTTTGTGATATCACAAAACCCGGAAAACAAACGCTGTAGTCCAAACGAGCCGTTGTTGGTAGTTCTTGAAAAGGGATTTTTTAAAAACGAAATATCTCCCTTTGGAGTGGACTTTGAGATTTTTAAGTTTGAAGATCTTTTTTATGCTCAAACATACACACTACACACTGACTAAAATTCAAAAAGTGAAAAAGCATAATAGGACCCCTTTAAAGGCACAGACATTTGTAGGGCTCTATGATTTCTAACATGGACCGAATCGCAGAATTTAGTCATAAAAATTAAATTTATTTAATAAAAAAAAACAACTACCATCATATACACACACAGGAACACAAGAAAAGGTCTTTACGACAACCTGTCAAAATAAAAGTTTGAGTCAACTTGAAGAAATTGTGAATACAGAATAATAGCATAACGTATTTCTAAATGTAATAACAAAAATAGTAGTAATAAAATTATTAAAAAAATCTTAATAAGGAATATTACAGTTTTTCTTCTATGTTTTAATTTTAATAAATCGATAATCAAATTGTTAAAGTTTCATGATCTCAAATGATTAGACATGTTTTTGATTATTAACATTTAATTAACACATTAAAATGGAATCCATAGTAAAAAAAAAAAAAAGGAAATATAGAATTTGAGAAAATACAACAGAATTTGGGGAACAAAATTTAATTGTTGTTAAACTGTTTAAGTTTCATGATTTCAATTAATTAGACATGCTTTTTGACTACAAAATTTAATTTGAACAGAATATAATATAACCCAGCATAATAATAATAATTATAATATTTAAAACTGAAAAAACAGAACTTAGTAAAAAAAAAATGAATTTGGTAAAAAATTAAACAGATTTTATAGAGTCCTACAGCTGAAGCGAAATCCTTTTTCGTTACTGTGTTGGTATGTATGTACAGAGGGACTGTGCACTTGCAATGCATTGGCCAAGCATTCGTGTCTTCATTTACGTACTGCACTCTGACCCAGGAGATCAAACACCTGTTTCTCTCGTTCCCTCTCTGGCTCCAGCTGACCAAACACATCAGACATTCCTCCATCTGCTCATCGGACCCGTCAGCCCACCTCACTCGCACGCTCCCCGCATTCCTCTCCAGCGGGCAACCGCTCTCTCCTGCACAACTATGCGCTGTGCATTCTCACTATCTTTAGTCTCATAATCCATGTAAACATGTGGAGGTACACACGTACACGTTTACTGCGCTCATAACAAGACTCTGGACACACACAGAGAACTAAAGAGCCGTTGTGGAGAGCGACGCTGTGGGTCAGAGGCAGTCATGCAGAGGAGAAGCTCAGGAATGCTCATTTTCCTTCAAATAGCTGCCAGTCCCAGGGGCCAGAGCGGAGCTAAATAAAGAGTGAGGCAACAAGGCTGGATGAATGCATGGAATGAAGGTTTATCTGAACTTCACCGCAGTGCATGGGCTCTGTTTAGTTTAGTTCAGTCAGACCCAGTGCTGTTTCCTGTCAGCCTATATGCTCCGAACACACACATATACGCCCCAACCACAAGCTAAATCATTTACAAAACACAGACAAACTGAGATGAAGCCTGACATCCAACACAGACCAGACCTACAGCTTCAAATCTGACCGTCAAACATAAATCTGTGCACATACATATTAGCAACAAACAGGGACAAAAGATTCCATTATAACAGCTGAAACAATAGACATAAAAAAATGTATACAAATATAAATCAGTTACTTTAAATTGTAATTATATTTCACAGTATTACTGTTTTACTGTATTTTTGATCAAATAAATGCAGCCCTGGTGAGCAGAAGAGACTTCTTTTAAAAGCATTAAAAATATATATATTTTTTCATGACACTGTGATCAGCACAAACCACATTGAATCTTATCTTTACGATTCTGATTTGGGCCACTTCCATATGTGGTCCTAAATCCGATTCAGGTCAGATGATTTGCAATGCGACCGCAGTCTGAACGGTCATATCGGAATTCATGCGACATTTACATCACACTAGATGGACATTCGTCATAATTCTGCACTGACAGGAGTGACTCCAAAGATTTTATATGCTGGTATGATCACTCGGTGAATATGACAGACAGTTGTGGATGTAGTCAGTGGAGAGACGCAGAGGTGTTGAACTTATAACTATCACAGTGACAGCTCTATACAAGCTAAACTTATGGGGTCCTATCGTAAATATTTAAAAACTTTGCTCTGTGTCTTCTTATACTTGCTCACAAATTCGCTGACTTCGGTGGCACATCAGCTTATAAATGAATGTGTAAATGATTACTTCAGCAGCTCCCTTGTTTACTTCCGTATGACAGCGAGCTTATATCTTGAGTGAGTTTGTATGACACACACACTTACTGCAAGCGCTGCAGGTGAAGCAGCTGTCATGGTACAGGCTGCCCATGGCCTGACACGCCTGACTCGCTCCATACACAGCCTTGTTGCACTTCACACAGCTGCCTGCAAAAGAGCAAAAAAACAAACCAGGTCACACTTTCAATTTCATTCTATATAGGTAAGAAGAACTTAATGAAAGAGTGTGTAAGAGGGAAGGCAATGCTGAAGAGGCGTCTTGAGTGTCAGTGCAGAGGTCAGCTGTGTTGTGACACTAACCACAATAATGTTTGTTCTGACTGGACAGTCAGTGTGAAGCATTGGATATTGATATTGGAGATATTGGGAGTTATGTAATTACAAATAGAGGTATTGGAATTACGTTAAACTAAAATTTTGTATTTCTTATCTAGACCACAGCTCTGCACATTTGATTCACTCTTTTAAACAAGCTTCATGAGGCACATCCCGGGATCTGGGTTACCAAGTCTGCGAAACAAAACTAGCCCAATGGCCAATCAAAAATAAACCAAGACTAGCCAAATCCCAAATGCCACTCCAATATCTAAAACACATATTTACGGCCACTGTTCTGCATTAGACACAACCGGAAACTTGAAAATCACTATATTTTAGTAATCATAAACAGTCAGTTTTCATAAAGGAGCTCAAAGGCTCCTACCAGTGCCCTCCCTGACAAACCTCATTATCTGGAAGTTTGTCAAATATAAAATTGGTAAAATATATGCATTATATGCATTTAAATAAAATACAATTTATGCAATATGTCAAACCTTTAACCCCTAGGGGGGAAAAAATCAACCCGTAAAAGTAGCTAAATTTCATGGGAAAACTGCAGGTTTGGCAACCCTACCTGGGATGCTTTTTAAACAGTATTGATTGAGGGATTTGTTTTCTATTGACTGACCTTCTTTGACTATCAGTTTCCTTCACTCATAAAAAGATAAATAAAACAAAAGCTTTTAATTCTGAAAAAAATAAAATGCAAAAGTCACATATTATATTTGTCTACAAAAATAATTTCAAGATTTCAATTTAGAAATTTTTATAAAAAAGATCATAAGAAACAGTCATGTTTGTCAAATCTTTTGACTGCTAATGTAACTTAATTGTAATAATGCAATTGATATTAAAATCATACAAGCTGTAAGTACATTAGATTTTAAATATTTTTAACTACTTGACAAGTCAGTAATTTGTCTAGCTTGGTTCCCTTTATTTTTATTTTTAACTTCTCAACTGGAAAACTGGTGCAACTCCTTGTTAAAGCATGATAAACCACAGTGAAATACACGGAGTAGCATTTACTTTCAAACTACTCCCACTCAAAAATGATTAGTATATTTCACAAATAAATATAATGAAACGTCAAGCAACAAAATGAATTAAACATGAAATTTTAAAGGCTGAAATTTTCTTGTAAAATTTATTCCAACAATCTTGCATTATTTGCAACTTCGAAAAATGTTTTACACTGTAGTATGTTTAAAGGGGTCATATGACGTTGTTAAAAAGAACATTATTTTGTGTATTTGGTGTCATGCAATGTTTTTACGTGGTTTAAGGTAAAAACAAAAAAAATATTTTTACAAAGCTCATCGTTCTGAAAAGCACAGTGGGCTCTGATTGGCCAGCTATCCGGTGCATTGTGATTGGCCGAATACCTCAAGCATGTGACAGAAATATTACGCCCCTTACCATACAGTATTTGGAAGCACACAGCGTCTCCACGGCAGCGGCGGCAACAATACTACAGGGAGAATAAAAGTTATGCCTTCTTTCTTTATGCAATTCGTCTAACACAGTGACGTAGATTTGTGGGGGCATGTTTGAATGAGACGTTTTAGGAAGGCATGGATGAGTCTTAACTTTTAGAAAGAATATCTCTTTGGGTTAGAGACTTTAATCTTTGTGACTTTACAGATCTTATATATGCACGGATATATATACATATATTATGTATACAGATCTTATACAGATACATACACAAACACAAACACACACACACACACACACACACACACACAAACAAACAAACAAACACATACACATATGGTATGGTATGGTAAACAAGCAGACCCTATGACCTTAAGAGAACATTACATTAAGATGAGCTTAAGATAACTGCACAGCTGAAGTGAAATCACAAGACTGTCTGTTAGGAAGGTGAGCTGAGAGCACAAGAGGCTCTTTGTCCATCTCTGTTGGTTCAGGCTGGTCTACGTGGCATACGCAAGGAGAACATTTAAGCAAGCATGAGCTGAGATAACAGCGTTAAACAGACAGAGGTCTGCTCTTAGCCAGCACTGGCCCCACACAAAAGAGCCTCTGTTTCATCTGGTATTCAGCAAACATCATGCTAACAAGTTCTGCCCACTCAGCAAAGCCTGATCCAAACGCGCCAAGCACAGTCAGACTTTCTACACAAACACAATCAGACCCACATCTGCTTTACAAAAAGGCTTTTCATTGAAACAAGTGTTTGAAGCGATTCATTTAAACACCATGTTGTAGCACTTTTAAACTGAGTCTGGCTTCAAAACAATTTAACATTTAAAAATATTTTTGTATGTAAGAATTAATTAGGGTCAGAATTAAGCCTGGCCGATACAACGGTATCGATATTTATCGACAGTACACCTTCTTCGATAACGATAGAAAACAAATGTCGATATAGCGCACGATATAGGCACGTGCTATGAGTGACGCAGACAGCACACACAAACACATGCTGAAATGAGTGCTGTGCTGCCTGTGATGAGAAGATTGTGAATAAAGAATGAATATTAGTCGAATTTAAAATAAACATTTGCATTTGAATGTTAGGTGTGCGTCAGGGAGCGTCATCAGTGGCGCACGAGATGCGGTGGTGATGATGATGTAAGTGACGTTGTAGTTTAATGTTTTGTTAGTCTAGCCCACGAGATGCGCCACTGATGCGTTATTCATTCAAAATATTCAAGAAATATAGAAGCTCAATGCGGAGAAGATCTTGATTAGGTTAAAACCGAAACCAAGCCATTCACACAAAACGCATATTCAGCGCATTTTTAGATGGACAAAATGAGTTAATTTAAACGTAATGCACGTTTTTTTATAGACAGTTTCCTTGCATTGACAATTTAAATGCGCTGCATTATTTTGCTCATTGCGCCCTCCTGTGGCCTCAGGAGA